GGCAGCCCTCCCTGCCGGCAGCCGGGGGCATTCAGCAGCACTGCCCCCGTGTTTTGCTGGCGAGCATGCCCGTCTAAAGCAGGCTCGTTTATTTATTATTTAATTTTTATTTTAGAGACCTTATCGTTTTCCAGGACTGCTCCATTAAGGAAATTGCAGTGCTGATGAGCTCCCATCGCAGCCTTCCTGAAAGGTGCTGCAAAGACCTTTCTCTAGAAAACCCAGTTTCCTGCTTTGTGATGATAAAGAGAGGCAAGATTAAACATTACCTGCAGCTGCTGTTCTACGCTCTCCAAGGGAGAGGTGGAACCTTGTCTTGATTTTTAATGATAATTTTCTCCTGGTGGCTTTCTCCTAAAGGAAAAATATAGCCACAAGCTTTTGTTTCAGCTGCCTAGAATAATGCTGGGGGTCTGAGCTGGAATCTGCCGGGTGTGCGATTTCAAGCCGTCGATAAATCCCAGCAGTCCTTCAGTCGAGAATAAACCTTGGTCAGAGAATCGTCGCGGTCTCCCTCGTTCCAAGCGGTCGGGGGGCACGTGAAGGGGGGATTCTGCGTGCTGCCGAGGCGAGTGCCGTCGCTCTGGTCCTCTCCTGGCACCCAGCCCCTGCCGGGTAGCATGGGTGGAAGGCAGGCAGAAGTCTCCACAAACTACAGGTCTCCAAGGGTTGGGTGTTGCAGGGCTGGCCCCATCCCCGGGCACGCTTCCCCCTCAACTGCAGCGCAGGGGCATTTTTGGGGGAAAGCCGGGGAGCATCTCCAAGTTGAGGTGGCTTTACCAGCAGTTTCGCCGTTGCTGAGAACCTACCAGAAGCAGAGAGCTTTTTCTTCCATCTTGTCAGGCCAGGCCGGTGTTCCGGTGCTCAGGGACCGAAAAGCTGTGTTTATCATCTGAGGAGGAGGTAAGAGAATCAGGAGGAGACAAAGGCAGGGTCTGTAGCACAGGGTTCCCCCCCGGGAACTCTGCAAACCATCTGAGGAGGGGACGGCCAGGCAGGGTGATGGTACCTGTGGTCAAGCCCATCCTACTGCCAGCAGCCAGGATGGGACACGCGCATCCCAACTGAGCTCCTCCACAACAGCTTACCCCCCTTTTCGGTTGGGCGGTGACTGAACCCGGCTGAAATTGCTCTTTCCCCATCTCAATTGCAACTACCCAGAGGCTACGTCCCTTCCCCAGTTGTTGCCCGTCTCCATTCTGGGTGGAAAACACCAAAGTTGGGCACCTCCAGCCTTTTGGCCCCTCAACCTTAATGAACTTTTAAGAAAGTGCAGGAGCTCTGCGGGAAGGTGACTGCGTAGCTATGGGGAGGCAACTGTTGGGAAGGATGTTTCTCATTAATCTATTCAAGCTATTACCTTCATCAAACTGAAGTATCCTAGAATCCTCGCCCCAGCATCTGTCACTTGCCACCCACAGATAAATATTCATCCCTTGCATATTTTTTTAAATTTATTTTTTTTTTAGCACATCAACCAGGGCTAGGGGATGGGTCCCTAAATGCGCAGCGAGGCTCAGGAATCAAGATGCCCCAGAATTTGTGGGTTTCACTCCAATTTTACTGTTTCTTTGCATGGTAACAGTGGGTAAGGGCAAATCCCCACACTCCACCACCAACCGTGGCCGGCGCCGTCTTCGGGGAGGGGGGAAGAGCAACATTTTCGCGCAACCAATATGCGCGTGTGTTGACGCGTCGTGCTG